GTCTAAAAATGAATATTGAAAACCTTTAAAATATTAATTCATGAGGATTTATATGCAAGGGTTAGACTCGGATAAATACTCGGGTTACAAAAGCCTAATATTCTTGAGTCAAATTCTCAATTACTATTTATGACCTTTAAAGTTTGTAATTGTTGATACAGATAAGTTTCCATACGTTTAAGTCTTGGTTAAGATCCCAGTTGTCATTGTTGAAAGCAATGAATGCTTGTTGACCACGACAGAAGGCAATTTGGTTGCTGCCGTTGTCCCACCAGTTGCTCACACCTGTGTTGCCGGCAACATTTCTAAACGCAACCATTTGGTAGATTTGACGCCAGCGATGTTCACAGATCCATCCGTTACCACAACTGCCATCCTAAAAATGACAAGCGTATAAAATGTTCAATAGTAAAGTAACAAATGTAAATATAATTATTATTTCCAAAATAAATTATTTACCGAATTAATAGAAGGAGAAATAATATTTCCGTTGCGGTCCTGTGGGGGTCCAGCTTCAGTGTCACGGAAATCAAAGCTGCTCATCAATTGGGGTTTTCCGTATGGGTGAGCTAACATAAAGGCAATTGCGCCCTTGTATCGTTTGGCATTTTTGTATGTAAGAATATTACCACCGGCACCATGACCTCTCTGGTTATCGTGGTTATCAATAAATGTTAAAGCATCACCGCTCGCAAGGAGGCCCCAGTTAGGTCCCCAGTTACTTAACCACCTCAGTTGATTCCCACCCTGGAAGGCTCTGCTCAATTCCATTCCGAATCTAAACTCAGTAACCGCAGCGAGTGGTGTATACTCGTTTCGGCTGATAGCTTCTCCACCAAGATCGATAACTTCTTGGTAGATGTAAGGACGAGCACCAGATGGGAAACCATGATTCCTGTTTAAATTGTTAAGCCTGTTGTAGATAGCGCGAAGATCTCCAGGCCACATGTGTTTAGCAGCATCAATCCTAAATTAAACAAGAAACTTTTCATTGTGTTTTAGCCAATAGATTATCTTAGATTGTAAAATTCATAAACAGTTGTTTTACCTAAAACCTGCTACTCCAAGATTAATGAGGTGGTTCATATAATTTACAATCATGTTACGAACATGAGTAGATCCTTGATTCAAGTCTTTTAATCCTGAGAGCTCACAATTTCTTACCTGAAAACATTAAAAAAAAACTGCATCCATTCCATGCGGTATGGTCTTACTACTACAATAAAAGATTATAAGGTATTCAAATTATTAATTTCTTGGTATGTAGCTGTTATATTTATCTGATTAATTGCATTCTATCCGCTTTGTACTTACCCTGTCTGGACAGCAGCGGTAATCATTGCCAGAGATCACACACTGAGGTGAATTGAAGTCATTTCTTCCGAAAGGTACGGCAGGGTAGTGCCAGTTTCCGAAGTTAGCAGTACTACCCCCGGTGCCCACGTTTTCGTTCCAAGTACCAGTCATATGGTTAATTATGGCATCGACATATATCCTGTAATAATTCGAGGTATACAGTTCCAGTTCTACGTTATGCCCTTAGATCGCCACCAGGCTAGGTCTGGGAACCTGGGATTCCGGGTTTCGTGTTCCCACTACATAGTCACACAGCTAAACTACAGCTAAACCCATCAATTTCCCGTATGAAGCCATAGGTGCAAATTAATATACTAAAATATTTTTTTCCTTTGTTGGACTAAGTGAGTAACTTTATTTTTAATTCTTGTTATTATCTTTCTTACCTGACACCAACGTTATTGCAACGACGCACCATGTTAGCGAACTGCTGCTCGTTCCCAGAACGTGTTACCAATCTGTAAGACATCGGCTGATATCTCTCCCACCATGGCCTGTTTCTTGATCTGATCACCAAATTCTCATTGGGTGGTGATATCTAGAATCAAGTCATTGTGAAATTTAGAAAGGGGGATTTATTGAGCCAAGACCTTCCGAGTTTCATACTGAAGACAGAAGCAATATTTAATAATTCAGCTTACCTGAACACCAGCGAATCCTCTAGGTCCAAGGAACCTTTCACACTCAGCAGCGATATCATTCCACTTCCATTCAAATAGATGAACCATAGTAGTCCGGCCGGAGACATAATGGGGATTCTTAAAGGCCACTGCTAGGCCCGCAGCGGCCAGCAACAGAATGAATCGAATCATCCTAAAAGATAAGACAAAATTCAATGAACATCAACATTAAGGAGGTTACAGAGGTAATCAATTTTAAACTTCTTTGATTCTCAACATTAACAGCCACAGTATTTGATCTCACAATAATTTTGTAGTATCATCATCATCAGCTCACTATACGTCCCCACCGGGGGCTCGGAGCCTACCGAAAGTGGGGTTTTGTACTATGACAATTACTAATTTGATTCTACAGGATTGAGAATTATAAATTCACTCACCTGGCGTCAAATAATAAAAGAACAATTTTCACTTATTCCAAAACCACTACCGAACATACCACTTATATAGGAAAAGATAAAATCAGTAAAAAATTAGATAGTAAATGTATCTTCGTACCAGTAATCCACGATAGTGTTTAAAAATATAATTATTCAATTGATTAGATTCATATCGAATACGCGGGAGTCATGTATACATATTTGTTGTTAATATTCTGTAACACATTGTGAAGTACCAACAAAAAACAAATAATCCGCGTTATTGAATTAGTAATTCCAATTCTTATTATTTGTTCACTTAAAAGTGTAATATACTTCGAAATCCAAGAGTCTTTTGTAATGTCCAGTGGCGCTGCTTTCGTACACGCAGACTTTTGAGTAAATAACATACAAATACATAGTTACTCCACAATGATTAAATGCCTAAGACATATGCCACACGAGCGATTAAGAGCACGAGGCACTCAAATCGCAAAATCTGATTATTTTTTGTACTCTATCAAATTTCAATTCTATTGTTGTACAGATATCGATTGACAGATACTGGATTACCACATATATCTGTACCGTTTTGCTTGCATTCTATCACTGTGGTATTATCGTGTGGAGCCACTTCTATATAAGTATTTGCAAATAAGTCACTGGAGAAATATCTGCTATTCTCTTGGTAATGAACGTGCCTCACGTTACACTCGATACATAGCACAATACTTTAACCATTATGTTGGGTATCTTTTATCATTAAAATTGCTCCAAGACAATTGCCGCTCTGTGTAAGAAATTCATGGAATCATATAACTAAAATTATCATTTCAATCTTAATTGTTAGCTCTTTTACATCTTGACTGAGGAGCTCGGATCCCATATTAAGTTAGGGTTGACTAGGCCTTTTGCGGTTTAGATTGTTCCAGTAAAGTACACCAATTTATTACATGAGTAATGATACAAGTATTTTCAACAGTTCCTATGTTTATAAATAATATCTTTTAAGTATTTGATTACTAAGTAAAACATCATCATCATCATCAGCTCACTATACGTCCCCACCGAGGGGTTAGGAGCCTACCCTAAACCAAGGATGACTAGGCCATAATCAACCACGCTGGCCAAGTGCGGGTTGGTTGACTTCACACATATCTTTGAATTTCTTGTCAGATATGTGCAGGTTGCATCACGATGTTTTCCTTAACCGTAGGAACGTCGGATAAACGTACATATGTAAATCGTAAATCGAAAAACACAATGGTGCATGGCGGTTTTCGAACCCAGGACCTGCAGATTGCAAGTCAAGTGCTTGACCTCTGAGCCACCGACGCTCAAAACATAGCTGTGTGGAAATCAAAATATGATTATAAATAATACACGTAATAAACAATAATGAAAACATATTATTTCAACGATAAGAAATTATTCGCTTAGCTACATCCATTTTATATGCTTAATCATTTGATAATGTAAATATTTTTGATAGGATTGTAAATAACAATTTATGTACGTCTCCATATCAATCAATTTCGGTTTTTAATGGTCCCTGATGTCTTTTAATATTTGTATGCATTTGTCGTTCAACCCACCAACATCAGTCAATAATGTTTGGGATATACATATATGATACTAGATTTATTGTACTTTTAGTCGAAGCAAAATCTATCGAATGAAGAGATAAATACCGCTTTAAGTTGGTACTCTATGTGAAGTTTTTGAGTGTCTCTTTGTTTCCAATAATGTGCAATATACCAGAGCCCCTTACGTGTTCATTTAACTCTAATGCCCTGCTCATTTTTAACGAACGTACTGAGACGATTCAGCATTTTTTAAGGATTTAGTATTTATTTAGAATTTCTTCTTCTTCTCAGCTATGTGACGCCCATTGCTGGACATACTCGTATCACTCCTTCAAAGATCGCCATGATGACGAATCCTGGATACGAATTTATTTAAAATTAAATGTAATTTAATAGGCTTCTGTATAGAAACAACAGGTGATCCTAAATAATCAGCATGACCGGTAAAGTAGTTTTACTGCAAAAGCGAAATCTCCCAATTTTTCCTGTTCCTTCTTCGTCTACTTTTTCTTTACCGATTAAGGAGCTCGATTAATATGAAACGAAAGTATAAACAACAATAAATTGATTTTATTCCTTATCAAGGAGATAACATTTTTATAAAAATTGATATGATATGATTTCCAATCAAATGTAATTGCTTCCGTTTTGGAACATTTTGTGTATTATAAAATTGGAAATAAGTATATTTCGTGCGTTACATCATTATGGAGAACATAAATCTTGATAATATATCTGATTATTAGGCGTCATGCAATAAATAATAATTTATAGATTATTAATAATTTTGTTATTATGCGTCTTTTTGTGAGTGATGTTATTAGAAAATTATGACACAACCAGACGCTAAAAGGACAAGAAATTTTTATAGAATTCCTTACATCGGAATCTTTACCAGTCGTAGAATAATAAGTCAACGATTTGTATAAAATCTTTTATTCTTATTACGAAAAAAATACAAACGTACGTTTGAATATTTTAATGACTTAGATTTTCACATTTGGTTCCATTTTTTTTTTCGCTTCTACGCCAATTCCAGTGAAATCAATCTTCATAATCTTGACTGAAATTATACATCAAAAGTAATAAAATTATTATTATAAAGAAAATAAAGAGAAAAATATATAAAGTTAATAGCTTATTTAACTTTCTCCAAGACTTATCCTATTTGTTCCGATAATCAAATGCGTAAGAGAAAGTCTTCACACATATTTATTATGTCGTCAACAATCTCCAAAATAAAGAACTATGTTATATTCAAGATATGATCAATTAGATGAATTCATTTTACCAACCTCATTGCCGCGGTGAATAGCAAGAATCATATCATAGTCGTTAGCTCGTATCGAAATATTTGCAACTCCATTGTTGCCGACGGTAACAGTTTTGCCCGTACATCTGTTGCCCTCTTTGACACCAGATATGACATCACAGTAAGTGCCAGCTGGTAAGCAAGTCTAGAAAAGTAAGATTGTTGTTCAGTGATTACTAAATTATTCAGATCTAAATACACTATTACTATTTGCGTTAGTTATTGTGAAAAGTTCGTACATTCAGGTTTTGATTAAGGTCCCAGTTGTCGTTGTTGAAAGCAATGAAAGCTTGCTGGCCGCGACAGAAGGCAATTTGGTTGCTGCCGTTGTCCCACCAGTTATTCACGCCAGTGTTTCCGGCAACATTTCTGAACGCAACCATCTGGTAGATTTGACGCCAGCGATGCTCACAGATCCATCCGTTGCCGCAAGTACCATCCTAAAACAGAGCACTGGTTAAACAAATAAACACTATGAATGAATGAATGAATGAATGAATGAATGAATGAATGAATGAATGAATGAATGAATGAATGAATGAATGAATGAATGAATAAGAGTTGACGGACACAATATGACAGAGCATGTTTGGCATTGACACTATAAACTATTAGGTACTTACAGAATTAATAGATGGGGAAATGATATTGCCATTGCGGTCCATCGGCGGACCAGCTTCAGTGTCCCAGAAATCGAAGCTGCTCATCAACTGAGGTTTGCCATACGGGTGGGCCAACATAAAAGCAATTGCTCCCTTGTATCGTTTAGAACTCTTGTATGTAAGAATATTACCACCGGCACCATGGCCTCTTTGGTTGTCATGGTTATCGATAAATGTTAAAGCATCGTCGCTCGTAAGGAGGCCCCAGTTAGGTCCCCAATTGCTTAACCATCTCAATTGATTCCCACCCTGGAAGGCTCTGCTTAATTCCAATCCAAATCTAAACTCAGTTACGGCAGCGAGTGATGTGTACTCATTCCGGCTGATAGCTTCGCCACCAAGATCGATAACTTCTTGGTAGACATAAGGACGGGCACCAGATGGGAAACCGTGGTTTGTGTTGAGATTGTGTAGCCTGTCATAGATTGCGCGAAGATCTCCAGGCCACATGTGCTTAGCAGCATCAATTCTAAAAAGCGTAAGATATTTTTAATAATGATTTGAAACTAAAATCTTGACAACTCTCAAAAAAATTACCTACCTGAATCCAGCGACTCCAAGACCAATCAGATGATTCATGTAATTGACAATCATGTTACGAACATGGGCAGAACCTTGGTTTAAGTCCTTCAAACCGGAGAGCTCACAGTTTCGCACCTGGAATTGTTGATTTGTAAATTATAAATTAAATTATTCTATGTGAATACAAATTGTCATTGTGACGAAAATCTGCAATTTCATCATTCAGTGAAACAAAAGCGACCAGTAAGTACACCTAAACCCTGTGGGTTTTTAGTACTACTGTCTAACCGATGTTTAATTTGTTATGTGAAGTTTTTGTATTATAAATAAAAAAAAAAAAAGCAATCCAAATGTATCACTCATTTTAAACGTATCTAATATTCGAATTATATTGAGCACAGTATTAATGTCAATCAATAACCTTATTGCTGCCAAAGTCATATCTGTGAGCTGACAGAATGCAGCGAAGGCATGCTTCCAATTTTGATATTAATCTCCAGTGAGATATGTATAACTATTGCTTCCAAATTTATTTATTATAATAATTATTGGTATATTTCCTTTACTTTTTACATTTTGAATTTCAATAAAAATAAGTAAACGTCAGGGAATTGAATTTATTTAAACTTGGTCCACTTTACATGGCAATTTTTTCATAATAAAATGTCATGTTTTTTGCTAGCCTTGTTTCTTTGTTCAATCCATAGTATAAATGTAAAAGGAAAACTCACTCTGTCAGGACAGCAGTTGTAGTCGTTGCCAGAAATTACACATTGTGGCCAATTGAAGTCATTTCTTCCATAGGGCACGGAAGGGTAATGCCAGTTTCCAAAGTCAGCAGTACTGCCTCCAGTGCCGACATTCTCATTCCAAGTACCCGTCATATGGTTAATGATGGCGTCTACATAAATTCTATAAAACAAAAGAAGCGTGAAGGAGAATATAGAAAGTAAAACATTACCAGTCGATAATTCGAATCACATTTCTGGTTTTATAATCTAACTTTCTTTTGCGGAATACATGTTGTTACGATTCCCTATGCGAGCATAAATGTAGTATTTATTTTGTTACAGTAAATTTGATCTCGCGGAATGATCGAATCTTCAGAGAGCAATCAAGAAACCACGTTACAGAAGCCTACAATATAAATCAATATTGAACGATTCAATTTACAAGGCAACCGAAAAAGCTTTATTATTACTGCTTATTCGATAAACAAAGAAAACCTCAGCGGAGTGATTCGGTTGTACGTTAATTTTGTTAGGATTTTGCTAAACCTCAGCACAACGGAACAATAAAAAAATTAGTTTAAGAAAATAAAGATCAAACAAATTAGGTTTTTTTCTTGCAATAGCAAGAAACAACTGCTCCCATGATTTTTGGTACCACACTTTTTATCTATTACAATTTGTTTAATCTCAAATATAACTATATACAGTACAGCCAGAAATCTATATGAACGTGTGAAGTGACCTCTTTTCTTTAGCCATTGTAACAGTGTCGAGAGCGGCGATGATATGAGTGGTCCTCAACATATTTAATTTTATATTACAAGCCAATTTATAAACTTGTCTTTAAAATTTTATTATATATCGTCGCCTTTTTACGAACGAGTAACTATTGGTTTTCCATAACTTTTTTAAACCTTCTAACCTTTCCTTATTGCTCTTTTAGTTTCTATATATTTTTTATTTTATATTGAATAAGCTAGCGCTTCACCACGATCCCACCTGGTGTTAAGTGAAGTGATGGAAAGATGTTAGCTTAGTAAATTATACTTAGGAGATGTCATGCTTCGAAAAACTGACGCCGCCAACTTGTTCCAATCCTTTACAGTACGCATAAGAAACGGATATTTACATCTACTTTCTTACCTAACACCAACGTTGTTACAACGACGCACCATGTTAGCGAATTGCTGCTCATTACCGGAACGAGTCACTAGTCTATAAGATATTGGTTGGTATCTCTCCCACCATGGTCTATTCCTTGACCAGATCACCAAATTCTCATTAGGTGGTGAGATCTATAAACAAAAAATATGCTGATGAAGGACAATAATATTCAGGAGCTTCCTTATAAGATTGAATTTCAAACATTATTTGGTTCACTAAACACCAGCTTCACTAATTTGGTTTACTTTTTCTTTAATACTAAATTATTATTATTAATTCTTACCTGAATTCCACCAAAACCTCGTGGTCCAAGGAACCTTTCACACTCAGCAGCAATGTCGTCCCATTTCCATTCAAAAAGATGTACCATCGTAGTCCGGCCGGAGGCATAATGAGGATTTTTGTATCCCACAGCCAAACCGGCAGCGGCCAGCAACAGAATGAATCGCATCATTCTAGAATATTATACAAATTACTGATAGATCATTTAATCACCACTTTAATGAAATATTCGTAGATTATGGCTACTATTAAAATCATTAAAATTTATACCTTAAACATCTCTAATTTTGACTATAAATAGGTATAAAACCGTAACAACTCCGCATACTGCCATTAACTTTAATATAATTTCTATTTCGTCAATTCTAAATATGTTATTTTGTAAGTTATGATTTGACAATATTTAAATTTAAAAGATTTCATTAACGTTCTTTTACATAAATTGAAGATTAGAAAATTCATAATAACTCACCTGGATAAATTCGTGTGGCGTCTATTACTATAAAATTGATTTCCAGTTGTTCTATAGTATTCTACTGACATCTTACTTTTATAAGGAATGATAAAATCTCAGTTCACATTTTGATAGTTTATCTGTGAACTTAACTAATCCCCGATAATAACTGTTATTATCCAAATGATTATGTCCATTGAGTGTATTTCGTTGATAAGATACATATCGAGTACGTGGGAGTCAGATACTGTGTCATGTTTGGATAATTGTCATGAAATTTTACTTGACAGTCAAGAGGAAAATATTTATAGCGGGTATTTCTGATTAATTGTGACCTTTTGTAGACAAAATGTCTTGATCGATTTTATTCGATTTAATGATATTTGGAATCGTATTCTTTCCTTCATCATCATCAGCTCACTATACGTCCCCACCGAGGGACTCGGAGCCTACCCTAAGTTAAGGGTGATTAGGCCATAGTCAACCACGGTGGCCAAGTGCGGGTTGGTTGACTTCACACATGTCTTTGAATTTCTTCTCAGATATGTGCAGGTTGCATCACGATGTTTTCCTTCACCGTAAGAATGTCGGATAAATATACATATGTAAATCGGAAATCGAAAAACACATTGGTACATGGTGGGATTCATACCCAGGACCTGCAGATTGCAAGTCAAGTGCTTGACCACTGAGCCACCGACGTCTTATTCTGATTCTTTCCTTAGTCCGTTCTAAATAAATCTGACTTACATCTAAATGGTAAAGGAAAAACCATAGCTTCTTACATTTTTACATTTCCAACGTAAGTATTTTTTTTGTATCATTATCAGAATATGAATTAGTTATCTATTACAAACAATAAAAAAAATATTTTAAAAATTTATTTAAATGTCATTAGGTTAAAATCCTCCTTCCTTCCTTCGTTTAATTTTGCGAAACGGCAGCACAGTTACAATGAAATTGTTAAAAGGTTAATTAAATTCGAAGCCTTCAAAGAAAACAATTTTGTATTCGATCTTAACAATTTTATTTATTTTATGAATCGATTAATTAGATCTGATGGCAAATGAAAACACTTCAAATTAATTAATATTCTGTTCTCATCATTCGGATGAATGACTTTATTGCATTCTAATACAGTTTATTTTTGAAATATCCTTGACTGAAACAAATGAAAATTAATACTATTGGTGCTCACATTTTTAGTATCGTAACAAAATATTATTCCAACATACTAGCTGTTGCCCGCGACTCCGTCCACGCAGAATTAAAAAAGGCTTAATTAGTAGCCTATGTGTTCCAGACCATATTCTACATCTGTGCTAAAGTTCAGCGAGATTCGTGCACCCGTTCTGGAGATACCTTCAAACAAACATCCATCTATCCATCCATCTAAACTGTCGCATTTATAATATTAGTAACAATTAAGATATAAATTAAGTAATACCTCAATTCCGACATGGATGGCCAAATGCATGTCTTCAGCGTGGTTAGAAATATAAACATCAGCTAAACCATTATCATTTACTATTACTTTAGTTCCAGTACAACTGTTTCCTCTCTTTTTACCAGTAATTACGTCGCAGTATTCACCTTCAGGTAATCCAGTCTGAAAGAAGTTTGCTACAGTTATCTGCGCGTATGGCATGATTTTTCCTAGTGTCGCATTACACAGATCGCTCCATGCTATGCGGTCGGTGTATGGCCGGCAATTTAATAGGCAACAGCAAAGTAAAATCCGATTGTGTCGAATATCAACTAATCGCCCAAATACGCAAATGTCATCGTATCACCATCTCAAATTCTGGCAACGCATCTGCGGTTCCTCTGGTATTGCAGAATTCTATGTGCGTCGATGAACCTTGATATTCCCGCAGCTTATTTGCCCCCTTTTCTTATAAAAAAATAAACGCCGAATGTTATAGATGGCCGACAGCCGGAGCCCGTGAACGACGGTCCTTGTTTGGTAAATGATAACTGACTTTTGTTTTAAGACAAGAACATCAATGATACACCGTCTTTGTATTTATAATACACGATCAGAAAATATATCATCATTCCAATGTGTTTTGTTTTACATGGCGAAAATGTTTTTAGAACACAAAAGGAATGTTCACAAAAGAAAATTTTACCTTTATAAAAATAAACGTATCAAGTCGAAGTAAAATGCGCGACTCAACGTTTATGTGGGTCTTATAGAAAAAAACAAACTTTATATTCGTGCTGAATATTTGGATTCAAAAGAAATATACCTTTAGTGTAGCATTCAGTGGATAAGCTTCCCCATTGAATGCTATAAATCCCTTTTCACCTCTGCTGAAAGCAATCTGACAGCTACCATTGTCCCACCAGTTTTGTACCGCAGTGTACCTTACTGCGTTCCTGAACGCGACCATTTGATAGATTTGACGCCAACGGTGCTCGCACACCCACCCATTACCGCAAGTATCATCCTGGTTTTTGTTTTATAAAATTTATTTTAGTAATATAAGTTATACACAAATTAGTAGACAAATAATAACGTTTTCTCTGTTTTTCCGGTTCAAAATGGTACCACAAAAACTTTTTTACCCTAAACCAGGAATGAACTCAGTAAACCGATTCCAACTTACACAGTTTTGTTTTCCCACGAATTCGAAATTCATTTTATTAACAAATCTTTTCCATTATCATATTGTTTCGAAATTAATAAAAACCCACTTGAAACAAATAAATAAAACAGATCTTTTTGAATTTTCGGACTTCATATGTAGCTTATCAGTACGACCACACCTGAAGACATGCGTGAAGTGAAAATACATATTCGCCTGATGAGTGTGTGTGAGACTTAGTTCTCTGTCCCTTCCCAATCTTTATATCTTTTAAGGACAGGATGGATAAAAGGCAACGCATCTCCAATTATGGATGTATGCGCGCAGAGGTCGCTTCGCTATTTCGTCCGTTAATTTGGTCGTTCGCTCGTTTTCCAGCTTATAATATAGGATTTAAAAAGATATTTTATTATGATCTTCATGAAGAAAGGGCGAGTTGTTAAATTATTACTGCTATAAGTATACCTAGATAATCATTTACTATAATAACCTCATTTATGCTAGGAGAAATGATGTTTTCTTTATCGTCACTAGGCGGTCCTTGATCGGTGGAATCGAATGCATAGCTGCTCATAATTCGGGGCACGCCGTAAGGATGCGCCAAGATAAAAGCCACCGCCGCCTGTATTGTTGTTGGAATATTATTAAAAAAAATAAGATTCAAATTCAATAAGCAGAATTTCCTCTGTATGTATTTCTAAACTTATAAAAAATAAAGAGTTAAGAGTAGCTATTTCTCAAAGCAATATGCGTGTAAAATTTGCACTCTCCAAAAACAGCATTCGCGTGGGCCATTTGTGTAATTACGATATTTGCTTAGTGGAAAAGGGATGTTATACTGTTCCATATTAATTATTACCTTGTAAGGTCTTGATTCCCTGTAAGTCAATACATTTCCACTCCGTTGGGTATCGTGATTGTCAATAAATGTTAGCGCGGTGTCACTCGGTGATAGGCCCCATTGTTCCCCCCAAGAAACCAGCCATTTGAGCGCGTTACGACCTCGAAAAACATTTTGAAGTTCTGATCCGACCTGTTTAAGGATTCATTTGCATATTCCATTTAAGTACATTAAAGGCAACTTTAAATTACTACACAACTACAATATACAGATAATGCTCAAATATTGATCGTAAATTTTTTGAGACCGGTTGTATTTATGTATGTATTTCTAAATAATATAATAATACACACACATTCAAACATACGCACACATGAATGCAGTGATGGCTGTACTCCCAAATGCCCCCTGTACAAAATAACCGTGGTAAAGTAATTACAGACAGACTGAAAATCAGCACGGCCTTCAATGATAAGCTGGAGGCAGTATCAACTGAGCCTCTTCCCATTTTATTTTATATCTTTTTTTTATAATAAAGGTTTATTTGTTTTGAAAATAAACAAAACTCCTTTAACACTAAAAATATGACCCTTTTATATGTGTAAAAGTCGGAACGGTTTTATGGAAGCAAACAGAGCCTTTGTCTATAAACATTCTTTGACAGAGAAGGATCAATATATTTCATTTTAAAGCAGACCATAAATGAGACAACAATTTAACAATTTTCTTATTAGAAAGCTATATTTATCCAACACTAGCTGTCGGCAGCGCGATCTTAAAAAAAAACTCGGTAGCCTATAATTTCTTTTGTGACTGAATTGGCACTGTTTGTCTTGAGGAGGCGTTTATAGCTTCAACTCGTGGTAGCCTATATGTTCTTCCACGCTATTTTATACATTTATACGAAATTTCAGCGAGATCCGTGCAGCAGTTTTGGAGAATCATTTTAACAAACATCCGTCAATCCAAACATTCGCGTTTATATTAGTAAGAGTAAGATTTCGAAAACTGTTGTTTTAATTTACTATAAACAAAAGAATCCGTGGCTACAATATTACAATTATCGAAAATAAATCAATGCGTTATGAACGATAAGTTCGGTCAGCGACATTTGTACTTAATAATTATTCATTGATAAGATTAGATTCGTTAGCCGGTTATTGCAATTGTAGGGAATTTATATCTTATCTCCTTCCTCGATTTTAAGGAGCTAGGGAGGTCAAACAAACTTGTTTATATTTCCTTTTCCTACTTGAAATATGTAATAGATATACTAATTTAATGCTCAAAATTATCTTAATAATTGACAATTATTATAAAGTTACAGTAACAACATTTAATTTAGCACTAACTTTTGCCCGAAAATTCGATGTGGAATTCAAAAAAAACTTAGTTGGTAGCCTATGCGGTAATCCAGATAATCTATAACTGTGTCAAATTTCATCCAGATCCGTTTAACCTTGATAATATCCATTGATGTGATATTGACATTTTTAATATCAGTAAAAATCTCTCACATTTAAAAGCTTAGGAAATAAATACGAAAATCAACCATAAAATTGCTTTAAAAGGGGCAACGATATATTTTTGCGTAAAATTCTTTGAAATTTCATTTTTATTTGTATACCGTGCTCTAAGGTCGTTAAGCAAGTCTCGTCTACGGAGACGAATGTGCACGAATAAGTAGATTTAGATG